ACATACACCCTCACACACTCACACACCCCTTACACATGTACTCTCACACACACATGCACCCTCACACACCTCTCAGACCCCTCACACACACCCCTTACACACACCCTCACACACACCTTCACACACCCCTCACACATACTCCCCACACCCTCACACACACCCCTCAGACATCCCTCATACACCCTTACACACACATCCTTCACACACACCCCTCACACTTCTCACACACAACCTCACACTCCTTGCACAGACCCCTCACGCACACCCCTCACACACCCCTACCTCACACACACTCCTTGCACACACCCCTCACACACACCCTCACACACACCCTCACACACACCGCCGCACCCCTCACATACATCCTCACACACATGCATCCCTCTCCCACACCCCTCATGCACCCTCCCACATCTTCACATACTCCTGACACATATACCCCTCATACAATTCTCATATTTGAATACACACACCCTCACACACACACCCCTCACACACACAAACCCCTCACACGCACAAACCCCTCACACACACCCCTCACACATTTACACACCCCTCACACATCCCTCACACACACCTCTCACACACATTCACACGCACATACACAGACACAATACTGGCAGCCAAATTCACAGCATGGTGCATCCATCCCACCCTCTTCCCGAGCAAAGGGACATCTGTGCGCAGCTGTTCTTGGCCTACACTCAGAAACAGGGAGGGTGAGGAGGTCTTGGCAAAAGGCAAAGAGCCAGAAGGGCTGGCTCCTAGGAGGCAAAGGCCTGAGCCTCTGAACTCCCTCCTTCCCAGGCTACAAAGATGTGGGCCCGTACAGCAACTCTAGTGCCAGCCTCTGACCTCCCCTGGCCAGAGGTCCAGCCTCTTCGGCTCCTCACCACCCGAGGACAAACCTGAGGCCACTGCCTCTTATGCTCCAACTGGGAGTGCAGGGCCAGGATCATTTTTACAGTCACAGTTAAATGCAGTAAATTACCTCTTTTTACGTGCCAGTGACTGGCATTATTAATTTTGCTTTCAGTAAATCCATAAAAGAAGACGTCAACAAGGAGACCCAAGAGGCATGAGTGGGTCAAATAAGTAAGTCGAGGATGTGGAATACTCCCGGCAGCAGGGCCAACATGAGGTGAGAGGCCTGTGGTTTCTAGGGACACCCCTCCAGGGGCCTCAAAATAAACTGCCTGACTCCTCACTCGGGTTGGTATCCTGCTGCCTCTGGCTCTTCTGCCACATTGCAGACTGGCACCAAGAAACCTGTGTCAGCCCCAAGGTTCTATCCAGAGCCCTACAATATGAGACCTGAAATTAGACATTCTGGAATCTAGGCCAGATTCCAGCCAAACTCTGCATTTTACAGATGAAAAAACTAGGCTTCCAAAAGAGGGAGTGACTTACCCAAAGTCCACAACTAGTTAGCGGCAGAATATGGCCTGGAAGTGCACTGGGTGGAATGTTCTTCCCGCCTCATCCCTACCCCCTGCACTGCCTGAGAACTCCTAGTCATCCTTCAAGCCACAGCTGGGGGTCACCTCCTCTGGGAAGCCTTCCCAGCCTCCCCTTTCCTTCCAGTTAGAGCTCGAGACTCTCTGCTTGCAGAGCCACAGTTCATTGTACCACATAACCTTGTTAGTGAGCCCAAATCAGGCTGGAGCTCTCTGGCTCCACCTCCACACAGTGGGCACCTTGCATAAGGAAGAATGTCTGGTTTATCTTGCATCCTCAGTCCCCGGTGCTTAGTAGGGCACAGTCAATATAAAATCTAATTAAGTGCACATCTTGATCAGCACCCACCACTTGACCCTCTCATCTCTCTTTTTGTCTAAACAACTAAGATACTCTCCATACCGCTCACTTCAACATTTAACAGCTTTCTAAATGCTTTTATGTTCCCAACTAGACCACAGGAACTGGTACACACGTGGCCGATTTCTCCCAGATGGCCTAGCCCAGTGGTTCTCAGTCTCAACTGCAGGTTGGCATCACTGGGGCTTTGGCCCCATCCCCCATACCTAGGTCTCACCCCAGGCCACCCCTCTGGGAGTGGGACCCAGGCATCAGAATTTAAATTCCCCAGGTGGTTCCAGAATGTAACCAAAGTTAAGAAACACATTTCTAGAAAAAATATGATACCAGAAACTATTTGTTGATTCAGCCAGTTCTGTGTGTGTTCAAGTGAGTGCAATTATAGAGAAAGACAGAGAGAGACACACACAGCGTGACAGAGAGTAAACAAGAAAAAGTTTACTTGGCAGTGTGTAGACTTGGTTCCTCTCCTTTGGCACTATTGACATTTTGGGCCAGATAATTCTGGGTTGTGGAGGCTGCCCTGTGCCCTGTGTACAGTGTTTAGCAGCATCCTTGGCCTGGACCCACTGGGTGCCAAAAGCAATGCTCCACACAGGTGTAACAACCAAAAATGTCTTCAGATATTGTCAAATGTCCCTGGGGATGAGGAGGCATAATTACCCATGGCTGAGAACTACTAGTATAGACAAGCCACCCAATAATTGACTGCATGTTTGTTTCACATTTCAACTGTAAAACCTATGACCACTTTTCCACACTGGACTGAGTGCCTGAGGATTCTGAATATTGGATCAAGTGTCTCTGGGAGGGACATGGAGGACGGGATGGTGGCTCAGCAACAAGTTCTGAAGCAAGAAGGAGTTACATGGAAACTAATCAGATAGGTTCAAGGCAGTTAAGAGGAGCAGGTGGTGGTCAAGCCCATAAAAGATGAGCAAAACAAACCAGAAAAAGCCAGATATTCAGTAAAATTGCAAAGTTGGAAGCAAGCAGAGGGCTGTCAAGGATTAAGGGAAGTGACGACCACAAGTGGGAAAAGGCAAACAGAGAAGGGGCTTTCAGAAGTTTTTGAGCAGGGGAAGGACCACGCAAAATAGGGTTTTAGGGCCAGAGTCTAGCCTGGCATGTAGGCTGGCATATGGACAGGGTGCAGGAAGGGTGGGGGGCAGGGAGCTGGGCTGCAACAGTTCAAACCCACCTGTTCACCCACACCTACAATGACTCAGTTAGGACAAAGACTGTTATTCCACAGACAGAGTTCAAAAGAGCCAGGTGCAGATGCTGGCACAGAAAATGTCAGGGGGCAGATGTGGGAGTCATTAGAGCTGCCTCTCGAGCACCTTGAGCAGGAGCCACTGCTTTGAGGACCCTTCAACCAGCTCCCCCAGCCCCTGCCAGGTCCCTGAGGAAGAGCTGCAGAATGGCTGCTCCAGGCATCTTGCCAAAGCACAGGGGGCCAGCCAGAGCTCCCCGACAGGATCCCTCCCTCCAGGCATCCTCCTCCCCATCACAGTTGTGCACATGCTGCCCCTCCTTCACCCCACCCCCTCCTCCTATGCCTCCCCCACCTTGCTCTGTCACCCCCACTCTCTTGGCTTCTCTATCTCTCTGCAATCCTTCTCAGCCCTTTCAGGGTTCCTCTTCCTCTGCTCACCTCTGAGTGTTGGTGACCCCAGACTTTAATCATGGGCCTCTTCTCTCATTGTCTCAAACTCTCTAACACCCAGATCTGTACTCCCCCCACTTGAAAAATCCTTCAGTTGTTCTCTACTAGACACAAGATAAAACTCAAGGTACTCAAACCTGTCTCGATCTTGCCCTGCCCACCTCCCAGTCCCCTCCAACCTTGCACTTAAATATTCTGAGCTACCTCTTATTCTACAAAAAAAAAAAAAAAAATTAAAAGCCACATCTATCCCCAACAGCCTGAAGTCATCTGTTCTTAAATCATACTGCATAGCAGCCATTTGCTTACTTCTGTCTCCACCACAGACTTTGAGCAGAAACCTACAGCCCCAGAACCTAGCAGGTACCTGGTACTTAATACTCAGAGGAGTACTTACCATTTGCTGAGCACTTTCTAAGTGCTTTCCTAAGAAGTACTTTGTTTTATCATCATAAAATAATTATTTTACATTATTTATAATAATATTATAGTAATATCAGCAATTGTATTTATTATCCCCATTTTATAGATGAGAGTACTGAGCTACAAAAATGTGAAGAAACTTCCCCAAACTTACCCAGTTAGAAAACAGGGAGATTCAAACCCAGTCTGACCCCAGAGTCAGCACTCTTCATCACTGTGCAATACTATATCTTAATAAGAACCTTTAAACGAAATAATCAAATTATGCATGAGATTTTGCAGTGAATGAAGGCAAATGCTACTGCAGCTCTTTCTGAGCCTCAATATGGAGATTCAGGGAAGACAGGATAAGCATCGTGACCAGAGGAAGGGGCCAGGATGGGAGACCAGCCTGACAGACATGGCTTCCCAGACATTCTAACTTTGCTGGGTCACTGCTACTTCCCTTCATTGCGTGGCATTTTAGCCACCAAAGTCACTATCATTTTAGCAACAGGAGGAAACAAGCCAGGCCTGAATTGGGTCCGGGGCCAGCTAGCAGGGTCTAGTAACATCTACTCACAGAAAGCCTGGCTCAGAAAGACTAGGCAAGTGGATATCATGACCCCACAGGGCAGAAGTAAGGCCAGAGACCAAAATCAGAGAGATGAGATCAGAGCAGAACTCCTCGGGCAGCTGGGACAGAGATTCTCCCTGCCTGGAGAGACCATCATTGACCAAGGATGCTGGTCCAGCCTGCCCCAGGGCCTAAGGGAAGAGGCAGGAGATGGGCTTAGCATTGGCTAAAGGGAACAGCTCCCCAGCAAGCAGGACAGGGGTGACATTCAGCAGCCCTCTCCAGATTCTGGAACTCCCACCGTTGGCCCCATTATTTCTATTTTAAGTTACCCTGTTCACAACAGGTGAGTCAGGCTGGCACCTCCAGAGGAGAAAATGCATAGGTAAAAGATTGAGATTGCATGTATCTTATACCTGAAACTCTAACCGAACCCCCAATTAGCAGCCCATGCTGGGACCAACACCTAGTTTCATAATGAATCGCATTCAAATGATCACATTTTCTTTAAAACCGCCAGAGCCAAGCACTTACCCGCATTGGCTCGTCGGGGAATCCAGGTTTGCTTGGTCTATCCTGTCGCCGAGATCTTAGGAGCTGTTTGGCCTGCTTCTCCGTCAAAATCGGGGAGGTCTCTGGAAAAGTTGGGAAGGTGCCTTAAGGACGCTCAGGTTCAGGAGTTCATGAGCCATCTCAGCAGTCCAAGGCAAAAGATTTGCAAGTTCAATTTTGGTTAAAACACGAAAGTTCTTTCCCGGGGACCTGTCCCAAAGGACGCAGCATTCCAGAGGGCTCAGGAAGCAATTTTGAATTGTTTCGAACATAGTTAACTCAGAGCAAAAGTTGCACAACCTAAACATATTTACTGATTGCAATGGTCCATCTCTTTAAAACGGAGGATTATTTTAATGGATCTTCAGTTCACTGCTCTGTGTCTCTTAGGCTTGCTTTCATGGAAGTTTTTTTAATCCTCAATACACTAAATCAAGTTTAAAGTCATTACTGGAAGATGCCCAGTGATAAGAAGACTATGTTAAACTTGATCATCACAACCCCTCAAAGGAGATAGTACAAAAGTGCTTTGATAATTACTTGCAAATTTTAAAAGACATTATCATAATAAAAATATATCAAATTTTGGTGATCTCATATAAACTCTAAAATAAGCTATCAGAAGCTGAAGATTTATCAGCATTTTTGAGAATTAGTGCTCAAATACATTTCAAGATTTTTTTTTAAAATATATAATGTAACTTTAATGATAAAAATTCTGGAAGCCGGCTCTTATGGAAAAAAAAAGAAAAGAAAAAGCATTGAAATATCTATATACCCTATATATTATTTAAAATTTTAAAAATTAACTGTTAAATAGACTATTATTTATCATGTCAGCATAGAAATAGACTGTTTTTGGAGTCAGTGCTCACCTGAGAAGACAGTCAGTAAGGTAAGAGACAGCACGAGCACAGGCAATGTCTTCATCCTGCCTTGGTTCCTCTGCCTCTTGCTGAGTGAATCCTCCCAGATGGACTCAACCAACTTGAAGGAAGCCCCGCCAGGTTCTGCACTTGTTTATGCTTTGACTAACGGGACTTACGGTATGATGCTGAATGTATCTGACTCTGAGCGTTTTAGTAATGACCACTGAAATATTTTCCTCTGAATTCCTGTAAATTTTTATCTTGAGGAAGGAAATTGTTACTCTGTAATATGACTTTCAGAGTTTGAAATTGAAAAAGCAACATGTGATATTCACTTCATTTAAACAGACAGATAAGCACCAGACAGACGTTTGTGAGTGTTTCTCTGGAGTTTCCGTTTATACTCCTGTGTCATTGAGAATTCATGATCTATTACACATTTGTATCTTTTATGACATTTTTCCAAAGCCCATTCACCAGTCTAATTTGATCTTCCCAATAATCTCAGAGGTAGGCAGGAAATTAGCAAGGGGCATGATGAGTGGGGGAAAACAATTTTCAGCTGACTTTGGAGACAGAAAAATAGAGTTCAAATGCTAGCTTCAATTTTTTCTAGCAATGTAACCTTAGGTAAGTGACTTACCCTTTCTGAACTTCAGTTTCCTACCCTGTCAAAAGGAGATAAGAGCACCTACCTTGTGGGGTGTGCTAAAGGATGAGGGGAAAGCTATGACCTTCATGGCAGCTAGTACTGTTCATCATCCATTTCCATTTTACAAATGAGAAAAGTGAGATTCAGAGATGTTAAATCAAGTTCAAGTTCACACATTATGGATGCCAAGGTAGAGTCTAAGTCTTCTGTCTTCAAACCTAGAACATGTGTTCTTCCTAAGAAGCCCTATAACCTCAGGGACAACTCCTCATGTTTTACAGGGCCTCACGCAACATGCTGTCATAAGACCGGAACTAGCCAGATTCAAGGGTATTTTTAAAAAGACAACAAAAGTTTAAGAAGCTGAAGTCATTTCAAATTCAAATCATCTATAAATATCACATGAAGAAAGTTTCTTGTTTTGATTTGCTTTGGTTTGGTTTGGTTTGGTTTTGGGATAGGGGTCTCACTTTGGGTCTCACTCCAGGCTGGAGTGCAGAGGTTCACTGCAGCCTCTAACTCCCAGACTCAAGCAATCCTCCCACCTCAGCCTCCCGAGTAGGTGGGACTACAGGCACACACTACGACACTCAACTAACTTTTTATTTTTTTATTTTGTAGAGACAGGGTCTCATTATGTTGACCAGAATGTTTTCAAACTCCTAGGCTCAAGTGATCCTCCTGCCTCAGCCTCCCAAAGTGCTGTAATTATAGGCATGAGACACTGCTCTCAGCCTAAGAAATTAAATACGTGATTAAAATATGTCTGGAAGGCATGTGACATTTATTTGGATAAAATTCGGTATTCAGAGAGATGATCTGATGTTTCTGTGGTCACTTTGCCAGCTCAAAAGAAAACAATACCCTATGTGTATTTCTCCAAATTTATGCTAATGTGTAACTGATATTAAACCTGAATGTGCTGCCCACACAGTTCGCATAAAGATATTTTGAGCAGATGGTAAATTAAAAAAAAAAAAAAATGCAGTGTTAGCAAAGTTGTCTCACATGTTCATTTGCTCAAAAAAAAAAAAAAAAAATTTTTTTTTTTTTGAGAGAGGGTCTCATTCTATTGCCCAGGCAGAAGTGCGATGGTCCATTCACAGCCCACTACAGCCTCAACCTCCTGAGCTCACGATCTCACATCTCAGCCTCCTGAGGAGCTGGGACTACAAGTGTGCATCTCTATGCCCAGCTGATGTTTTTTCTTTTTTGCAGAGATGGGGGCTCACTATGTTAGCCAGGCCGGTCTCAAACTCACAGGCTCAAGTGATCCTCCTGCGTCAGTCTCCCAAAATGCTGGAATTACAGGCAAGAAAGAACTGCACCTGACCCATTTGCTCAAAATTTGATATTTGATTTCATTCACTCTGCTGCTATTAACATCCTTCTGTTTTCACATAATTTTCACTAACTAAGGAATTTTAGAAGCTTTTTTTTTTTTTTTTTTTTTGAGACAGAGTCTCCCTCTGTCACCTAGGCTGGAGTGCACGAACTTAGCTCAGCACAGCCTCAACCTCCCAGGCTCAAGAGATCTTCCTACCTCAGCCTCACTAGTAGCTGGGACTATAGGCATGTGCCACCATGCCCAGCTAATTTTTGTATATGTTCATAGAGATGAGTTTTGCCATGCTGCCCAGGCTGGTCTCAAACTCTTGAGCTCAAGCGATTCTCCTACCTTGGCCTCCAAAAATGCTTGAATTACAGACATGAGCCAACACACACAGCTAGGAGCATTATTTTTTAAAAAAAATTGTCACGTTAAACAGCTTGAGTTTTGTATGTGTATATTCAAATTTTTCACTCCTTTTACTCTTTGTGGTTGGATAGAACACTATTTTATTATATCAAATAAATATCTTCTGTGGACCAGAAAAAAAAAATCTATACTTAGCTATAAATTTCTAAGGTATCCAATGTAAATTTACAATAAAAGTATTTTTTTGGCCAGGCATAGTGGCTCACACCTACAATCTTAACACTTTGGGATTCCAAGGCCAGGGGATCACTCGAGCCCAGAAGTTCAAGCTTGCAGTGAGCTGTGATTATGCCACTATACTCAAGTCTGGACAACAGAACAAGACCTTGTCTCAAAAAAAAAAAGTACTTTTTTAAATTTTGCAACTTTTATCTATATCAGCACTGTCCAATAAAAACATAGAGAGCCACAGATGCAAACAACATATGCAATTTAAATTTTTTCAGTAGCCACTTTTTTTAAGTAAAAAGGTTAAATATTTTCATATTATATTTTAACATGATGAAATATCCAAAATATTATTATTTTAACACATAATCAATATAAACAAGTTATCAATGAGAGATTTCATATCTTTTTTTTTATACTAAACCTCCAAGATCTGGTGTAGATTTTACACTTACACATTTCAAGTGCTCGGTAGCCACATGTGGCTAGTGCTACCATATTAGACAACATGCGTCTAGATCCTTCCGTCTCTATTGCCACCACCGAAGTCTAGGCCACTGTTTCCCTCACCCAGCTTCTGGCATCAGGCTCCCAAATGGGATTCTAGTTTCCCTCCCGGTTCACTTCAATCCGTTCCCCAGGCAGCAGCAAGGATGAAATAGAAAGTATCAGTCAGACCTCGTCGCTTCCCTGCATAAGAATCTTTCCTCATCTTCCCACGAAAGTCAGAATAAAATTAAAATCCCTACCAAGCACGACAGGACCCTGTGTTATTTGTGCCTAATGCCCTTTCCAACCTTACTCCAACCACTCCCCTCCTGCTCACTGCCATCTGGCCACACTCACTCACTTTCAGCTTAACAAGCCCACTCCCACCTCAGGAGCTTTGCATGTGTTTTTTCTCTCTTTTAATAACTGGATCCATCTCATCCTTCAGGTTTCAATTTGAAATTTCTCCTACTCAGGAAAGCCTGCCCTTACCAGCCTTCTTAATAAAAAGTTCTCTGCCCCCACCACCACCACTACTCTCCATCTCACAGCATTCACCATAATGTATACATATTGCATTTATTTGTTTACTTTTTAAAAATCTGTCTCCTTCACTGGTAAGCTCTAAGCAAGCTTGTATTATTTTTATAATTTTTAAAGCATAAGGAAACCTCTGGTGGACTGGGGTGGTGAGACTGGACAGTCGGGGCCTGTATCACACCCTGGGAGGCTGCCGCAAAGTCTCAGGTGCGGAGGGCCGTTCAGGTGTGATACTGGCAAGGCCATCAAATGCCCTTCAGCTTGGCCTCTGGATATTGTTCCAAAAGAAGCCAGAGGGGGAAGAATATAGAAAGATCGAAAGAGCAAAGTGTCTTATTGTTGAGTGTCACTACAGCGATGAGATTTCTCTTCTAAACCCCATCCCCCGCTCAGGAAAAGCCCAGCGGGATTACTAGGTGAGTCGGCAAGGCTCCCAGGAGAAGACGCAATTCCCAATAAATCCACAAGGTGGCAGAGCAGAGAGTGGAACCAGGGACAACTAAGATCGGGGAAAGAGCTCAAGGCCACCAAGGTTAATTATTCAACAAGTTGCCAGCGGCTCCAGAGAATCACTGGAGGTGGAGAGAGAGGGTGCTGCTGCACCTAAAACTATTTCCCTATTTTTATTTTAATTAATGTACTACTTGAAGGCATTCATCAGATGTTGTGGCCTAGGAAAGCGGTACCGTAAATCCTCACAACATCATTGCTGATAAATTCTTGGAAACTGCGACTTTAAGCCAAATGGTCCAGAATAAACCAATTTTACCATAAGCTAATTGATATGCACAAGAGGTGACTTCCTATGGCATACTTCTGGTCACAAAACATCACCAAACTTCTAAATAAGGACCAAAAACATTTCTAATATCAAACATTGAAGGCTATACATGTATTTAAGAAAGATTAATAAAAACGAGTAAGATAGTTATTAATATTTACCCACTTATCAAACTCCACACAGTCAGGCCCGGGGCTGGAATTAATTTTTTTTCTCATCAACATTGTAATGAAACAACGTTGAAGGAAACAATGTTATTTGAGGACCTGCTGTGTTACCTACTTGACAACATTTAAAAGCCTGTAAAGGAAGAATGCTACCACCCATATTCACAACATGCAAACACAACTTTTTGTTTGGGTGAGTTTCCTTTTTTTTTTTTTGCAAGGAACTGTCCCATTACATGGATATTTAAGGGTCATTGACAAATGACAAACCCAACATTCTAGAGTTCTACATGTCATCACACTGAACTAAAGAAACTTTAGAGACAAGAGAACTTTGTTTTGTTTTTGTTTTTTGAGAGAGGATCTCACTCTGTCGCCCAGGCTAGAGGGCAGTGGCACAAGCATAGCTCACTGCAGCCTCATCCTTCTGGGTTCCAAAGATCTTCCTGCTTCAGTTTCTCAAATAGCTGGAACTACAAGTGTGCACTACCACGCCCAGCTAATTATTTTGATTGATTGATTGAGTGATTGATTTTTTTAGAAACAGGGTCTTGCTATGTTGCCCAGGCTGGTCTTG